AAAAGTAAAATTAAAAAAAAAAAAAAAAGAGGGTTTAGAGCAAGCATAATTTGTGCACTAGTAAGAGATGCAAATACTGGATGGGTAGGGATCATTCAGCCAGTGAGGAAATGTGTAATATGGATTGATGATGATAACCTTTAGCAGTGTCATCAGATTAGGAATGAATTTTCCATGTGCTTTCACAATCACAAACGCTTAATTCCCAGAACAAGAGACAAGTGAACTCCTCACCTTTTGTTTCTTCAAGGTGCTCTTCCATAGAGACTCCAAACAGGACTAAACCCAGGGCAGCAAGGTCTACACAGTTGCAAAGCGGGGGACACGCAAGAAGTTGGGCAAGATTTTCTTTTCTGTTCTAATCTTAAAGTCCAGGAACTGTTCCCAGAATATAAGCCTGGCTGTGAAAGTCCATGCCACACAAAGGTGGTCTGTACATACTGCATATCTGTACATGCTTTTGGAATGGAAGCTTTACTGCATCTCAAACAATTCCCTTTATTGTCTCTAATAAAGTATGGGAGAACTGGTGAGATGCAAGGACAAATGGTAAAGGTGATAGGACAAGAGGGAATGGCTTTAAACTGAAAGGAGAGAGATTCAGACTTGAGGTTTTTTTTACTCAGAGGGTGGTGAGGCAGTGGCACAGGCTTCCCAGAGAAGCTGTAGCTGCCCCATCTCTGGAGATGTTCAAGGTCATTTTGGATGGGGCCTTCGGCAGCCTTATCTGGTGGGTGGCAACCAGCCCATGGCAGGGAGTTGGTTCTAGTTTATCTTTAAACTCCCTTCCAACCCCATCCATTCTATTATTCTGTTATTCTATGATATGCAATTTTGTGCCAGAGATTTCCTTTATAATTAGGAAGAAGTCACTAAGTTTCTGTGCCTCAGTTTACTCCCTTTTAGAAAGTGAACCTGCTGCTTTCCTCAGCCCCTCCATCCATGCCTGCTGCTGGAGAGACATCCAAAGGTACTGTGCAAATGGTTTCTTCCAAAAAAAAACCAAACATGCAGGTAATTAAAAAAACAAGGGATGGCATAGAACTGATGTTTCTAATGCTTCCATCTTGCAGAAAGCACTCACATTGTCCTGGTCAGAAATCCACCCGTACTGTGAACTTTGACAAGATAAATATAATTGTCCTGGGATTGGTTATGCAACAAGCTTGCTTTGCAATTCAACTAATGAATGCGCTGAGAGCCCAGATTAATCTTTTAACTTGAACAATTTCTCCCAAGGGAGAACATATATAGCCTGCTCTCTGTAATATTATCCCCTCACAACGGCCAGAGTGACTTTGCCACTTGAATGTTTGTTTTGCTTATGTATGTATAGCTCGTGTTTTCACAGATTTTTTTGGAGGAGGTGGGAGGCCTGGAGGCTTCACTTGAGATTGTACAGCTGGATCTGCAGGATTTCACAATCAGATCTCCTGCTGATGGATGCTATGAGAGCTCTTTAGTGTGATTATTTTAGCTGCAGGTATGGCTAGACTTTATCCAGTAGGCCTATATTCAATTCTGTGCTCTCTTAGCCCAGCTGTTCATTTCAGAAGGTGATAGTTCTAATTCTGATACTGCTACTTGTTCATTAGCTGAAAACAAAAGATTATTTTAATCCTATGGCTTTAATTTAATTAGGAAAATAACAAAGATTTTCCTAATCTCCTTCTAGAAGATGTATGCTGCAGAATACAGAAAAGACAGTAAATTCTCATGACAAGAAAAACTTGACTTCCCAGAGTAACATCTACTGTGTAAGAATCTCGCTATCTGTTAATTGCACCAAGTAGGCCAACTTTGGAAGTCAGCATCATATTTAAACTGTCACTGTGTAGAGAACTGCTAGCTTAACATTGCTGATTAATGTCTGCAGAGTCCATAGTCCCATTTCCAAGCAAACTGTCAATGGTACTCAGTCACCCCAAGGGAGCTCATAGTACAAGCACTTGGCAAAGTTTCCCTTCATGTTTTGTGATCCAATTCACAATGCTGATTTTCTGGAAAGGGGAAACAAGAAGAGAAACTAGACATGAAAATACTGGCCTTCATTCTGGAGTCATTTCTAAACCACATTTTTTGCCCCAGCACTGGTTCCCATTCTCTGGTATGCCTCTACAAGCCAAGATATAGATTCAGAGCAATCCCACATGACCGCGATGGTTCAGATACTGCCATCTGTGCCAGATGTGGGTGTGACCTGCCACCATTTACTGGAGAGAAGCCAGGTTCATCCCAAGGGACTCATCTCATTCCAGCTGTTCTGTCCACACTACACCAAGCTTCTGATGCCCTTCCTTATGAACCCCTCCCAGTCCTGTTGCCATCATCCATACATGGCAGACAGGAAAAGACACTGAACAGCACTGGAGATTTCTTGTGAACTTGAAAGAGATCATGCAGCTCAGCCCTTTTGTGGGGTCAGGAACATAACAAGAACTGAAGATTGGTCTTGTATTTCCTGTTTGCAAACCATCTGTTGGCTGAGCAAGGGCAAGGGCTGGAAGAGGAGGGACCAACAGCCTGCATGCCCCATTTGTTCTAACCTCATGGAGCTTCAATGAGGAGAAGGCAATATCAGTGAAGGACAGCGTGTCTGGAGGAAACAGTGACCTTTTCAGAGCCTGACACAGACGGTATCCATTACAGTGTTATCATCTAATATTTGACTATTACAATTTTCCAGTGCATGCTTGCACAATATGTACTGCCAGCAGATGCAGCATATGTTGAAATCACTTAGCTGACATAATAAACCTAAATAAGGCCTAATACAGTGGAGTTTATGGTATGTTGTCCTGGAAATATTTTCAGTAGTGAAGCTTAGAATATCTGCAATTTAAAAGGCCTGATCTTACACTCATTTTGCATAGGCTGAGACAAGCTGTTCAGATTGGTTTTAAAATTAAACTAAGCAAAACATTTGATTTCTGCAGTATATAAGGCTATACCAGGAAATTAGAAGTTTATGAACCCTGACAGATCTACGAGATACTACTGTCATTTCAGTGCAAAAGAATGAATCATAGTAGGAAATACTCCCACTTTTTTATGCTGTTGATGAAGAAATCTATCAATAGATTCTTTAGCCAGCTGTAGGCAAATGGGGGAATCTGTAAATAATGGAGTAAATGAGCTGCAGGTGAAAAGTGATCCTTTTGAGTTCCACCCTAGAGGGTGAAGAAGTTTTAGCAGAGGATGTTCCATTGAAGGGTGTAGCTCCTCAGCTGCTAGGTTCAGAACCAATGAAGTCACCTTCTGGGGAAAGTTTGCTAGGTAAGTAGAAGGAAGTACTAATATAAAATTCTAGAGTACCACTTTAGAGAGGAATGGGTGCCTGAAATAGCTGTTTGGGCAAGCAAGAGAGTAGAGAGCCATTCTTCTGAGCAGAGACTCAGAGTTTGAGAACGTAAATAGGAATACATGTTGTGAGATGAGAAAGGCTATTAGAGCAATCCAACAGAGCTGGCATGAGAACAAATGAGTTTGAACTGGCCTTTAGTCTGGAAACTTACAAAAGCATCCCAGCGGTGGAAGGGGGGTGAAAAAACTTGGCTAGTTTCTAAATGGGAATGAACTCTACAACTGGGAGTGACTGATGTGGTCACCTACAACAGCAGGTCTCTGGGCTTCCTGACTGAGGCAATCAGCCTGGAAGAGACCTCCCCTGTAAGGAAGGATTTAAGCACATGCTTTGCTCTGTGGGGATGTACTTTTTAACGTTTCAGCTTCTACGGCTTACGCATGTTCCTAAAAAGTGTATTACATACGCATAGCTCAATGCTATAGGTAGCCAAAGTCCGGGGCTTGCGTATCTGGCCTTGTGACTTCTGTGGGAACCTAGATTCCATGCAGGCTCTGGTCCATACTGTATCCATTGCAGGAGCAGAGCAGTGCCCAAACTTCAGCGTGGGCTTTGGGTGGTAATGTATCAAGCACCATTGGTAGACTCCTTCTGCATCTCCTTGAGCAGCCTAGGGCAGAGGTGCTGTGATGGGCGTGAAAGCAAAGGCTGCTGCAAACAAGGCTGAGAGGGTGACTGTCTTGTGAGGTCTTACCAGCATACAACTCTTAATGATTTCTTAAATATTTAGCAAGGGATTTTATAATCACCAGTAGTAAGTATGCTTTTAAAATACTTGAAAGGAAACAAATTTGCATAGAATGAATTAGAGGCCAAGACCTGTTAGCCATAGATGTTTTTATGGGAGGCTGGGGGCTTTCTTCTGGCTGTTTTCAGAGGATGCGTCCAAATCTGTCTCTGAAGTTTTCTTGCTTCTTTCCTTAAGGGAAAATGCTTATGATTGCTTAAGTTATTGCATTTAGTAGTGGTACATGTAGCTGAATCATCAGGGTTTCTTTTCCTCAACTAGAGTTACTTTTTGAACAGAAGAGCATTTTGATACCACTGCCATCATAATTGCCATTCACGCTCAGGTATCTGCACATCCTATCCCTTCCTTCGTTGGTTTTTCTCTTGGAAATCACTGGTTAAAAGGACTTAATGTAGTCTTTATTTCCTGATGTTCAGATAATTCGTAGAGCTTGTATTTCTAGCAGCTGATACCCTAGTTCTCAAATTGCTCTCACATGGTTCCCTGCTCCCCAGCTGACCACTCCAGGTGTGTGGGAATGAAATGGAGTTGCAGCTGGCAAAGCGCTGAGAAGGCCCTGCCTCTGAGCTCTGGTCTGAGGCTTTGTCCTCCTGCTCCAGGGGAAAGACAAGTGTTTTGTTTTAAACCGGCTCTTAAGAGAGTTTTCTGGTCCAAGTTCAATCTGATCGTAAGGATGAAAGAAGAAAGGAAACACAAAGCAAAGCCAAACTGAAAATGGACTTTGGCATATGCCGGAAATAAAAGCCAAAGCTTCAAGTTACATTGTTGTCTGAGCAGCCTGCATGCTCATGTTGCCTGCAGGAGAAATAACTGGAGGGGTGTGGTTCTCTAAATCGCTCAGGTGTATGCACTTCAACTTTTATTTTGCCTCTTGACGTGCTGTAGGCTGCCCTGCGTGACACAGCTGATGGCTGCTTTCCTTCAGGGATGGGACCCTACTGCCAAAAAGCAGTGACCGTACACCACTGGGACTCTGCTAGCAGCCAGCACCAGGCACAGCCAGGCCAGATGTGAGTTTCAAGGTTTGCATTCTTTTTTTACTGATATTCTCACTTACAACCTACCATTTGGTCCAGAGAAGAAAACAGAAAAGGAAATACTCAGGCAAAACAAACAGCTCCCATTTAGGGCAGTGGGGAGAGGATAAGAATTTCAGCCTGTGTCCTAGGAAGTACTGCACAGCAAGGCAGAGATATTCCTTATGATATAATTAATGATTTGGTCTCCCTATAATCCGATGCAGGGATGAGATGAGATTGCTATGCTTGAATGCTGCTTACTACCTTGCTGGGGTGCAAAAGCGCTGTGCTTCATTCATCACCTCTTAGATGTGTTGTCTTCATTTTGCTAGGAAAATCTGTCTTCGACAGGAATGTCAGATCTAACCAATTACCTGTGGAAATGTGCCAGTTTCACTGCAAAGGCTTTAGCTTAGTGTTTCATCTTCTGGAAACTCATGTCTCAAGAGTTAAAACCCCAAAAGTCTTGTAGAGCCATACAGTTTAAACGTATAACTGCAGCTGAGGTGAGAGAAGGAGAGCTTTATTTGCTATCTTCTGCTCACTTTCTCCTCTACTTCCAGTTCTTAAAGAGTTCTGTTTTCTTTCAGTACTGGTATGTGCAATGGTTGCAAAACTGTGAGTACATGTGAATATATGAAATCTTACAAAAGTTTAATGCGTACAGATGAGTCTGATCACATTTGTCGAAACAAGGTCCATGTACAGACATGGAAACGCAGAGGTCAGGACTGCTGTGAAGGTGCACAAACATCTTCGCTCCCTGAGGGAGATACTTAAAGTACCTCACAAGTTTAAAGCTAAGCACATTTTGAGTGTTTTTAATTAATAGAGATGAACTGCTTGCATTAAGTTGCTGCATACTTACACGTCTACCAAGGAAAAAACATAACTCAGGGAAAGTGCTCACGTTAAAGTTGTAATTCACACTTTTCCCATATGCCTGACACAAGAAGAGGGGTTCTGCCAACAGCAGGAAAGGCAGGAATAGAATACTGTAGGTGAATGTTCTGGTAACTATATGATGAGGCTGTTTCTTCACAGTCTCCTGCAGTGATAGATTAGAGCACACAATCTGTTTTTTACACCCCCCCTAAACTTCTTATTTGTTCAATCAGTGACACACAAAAAAATCAAGGTGTCTTTGCTACTTTATCAAAGCAGTACAGTCTATTGTCTCCTGTTGTCAGAAAAGGCAGAAACTATCTTTTTTTTTTTTTTTTTTTTTTTTTTTTTTTAAAAAAAAAAAAAAAAAAAAAAAAAAAGCTAGAATTTGCCATCAGGCATTTGGAAAGATGTTGCCTTGCAAGGAGTGGTATCCTCAGTTCTCCAATCCACTTTTCTGAGACTGAGAACTCCTCTCAAGGAAGCAATCTGTTACTAATTTACTATTTTATACTCTTCCACCCAAACCTCAGAGGCCATGTATATTTTCCAAAAATATAAATTGAATCAATCTGGGAAATCTTGACTCTTCATTATCTTTTTCTTGCCACCTGAAAGTACTCATCCTCCTGCTTCTAATTACTTTTTCTTTTCTGTGGTCCTGTTACAAGTGTCTTCCTGTCCCTCATGAGACTTCTGCTTTTTGGAAGGATGTTCCAAGCCTGTGTGTTTGAGCAATAATTGCACCAGGACTTCATTGTAGCACAGACTTGGAAGGCAGAATGTCGCTGGCTCTAGACTGCAATTGTCTATCACAAGAAGAAATTGATTTGTCTTTTGGAAGAGATTTGAAGGAACTGGCATCTTCCCCCAGAATAACTTTTCTTCAGTAAACTGCAAATAAATCTTGCACACAGAATGAGATGACAGATTAGCCTCATTTTGCTGCAGACTAGGAAATTGGGCAGTGTTGTTTCCAGCAGGAAGGTAAATCTTTGAAGGCTTTCCATATGCAGTCTCCTCCAGTCTGGCTGCCAAAGGGATGCAGCCAGGTGTTTCTGGAGCCCTCAGCTCTGTAGCCTGGCCTGGGGCAGGCAGAGGCTGTAGCTTATTCTGGGGGGGCTGTCTCTGTAGCCTAAGCTCTTGAGAGGGTTTAATGTATTCCACCTCTAGTTAAAATGGACAGAGTTGTGTCATGTAATATTGCTGGTTTTGTACTTGCTTGAGATGCAAAGCCAACTCTTCCACCGGTATTTTTGCTCCTAGAAACTGGGAGGTGCAATGACTGACTTTCCCCAGGCTTTCCCCAAAGGCTCAAGCTGTGTGTTTAGGAAAGGTCATTGCACAAATCCTACGATTTGAGGGAACTTAACTTGGAACACTTCTCCTTCATTAAATGTCCAGGGAATGGTTCATAGGCAGCTTAGGTCAGGTGCAACTGCCTCTCACTGCATGCTGCTGTCGCTCGTCTCAATAAACATCAATTACTGCTTGACAAGGAAATCGATGAGCTAAATTCTCTGAAACTTCCTACCTGTTCAACAGCTCCTGGCAGCACTCTCCTTCATCCTTCAGGTTTACTTTAATATACCTTTACCATTCTTCTTAAAACAAAAGCGCATTAATAAAATGATAGTTTACATGTGCCAGCAACTCCTTACTGAGAGGTGACAGCTACTTCTCTGTGCATTTCTCAGAAAATGCATTTCAGAATGCAGGTTAATTTTGCTCTGTTATTGGATATAATTCTAGTTCATTTTCCCTTCCTACAAATACATGATCTCAAATACTCTGATGTTAAAAAAAAAATGTGAGTGATGCTGTTGTTTTGTTTGCTGTTCCTATGCAGAGATTATTTCTGCTTGTAGTTCTTTGTGCTATATATTTAACTGCACCAGTTCACACGGGATTTTGCAAGTAGATCTTCCTGTTGGAAAGCAACTTGTAGTGTAGCTTTGGGTTTTTTTTGTTTGTTTGTTTTTTCCCCGTAGTTTCAGCCCAAGGAGTAAGCTGATTGTATTACTGCTGTTTAGAAAACATTGTAGTCTTGGTCCAGGTAAAAAAGTTTGGAAACACTCTTACAAGCTACAACTTGTAGGAAGAAGTTCAAATCGGACAAAATTCCTGTGTGCATGCAGCAGATCACACATGAACGTGTGGTGTGCACTGGCAGGAAGCAGAACAGCTTGAGCATGTAATTCCTAATGGGTTTCTCATCACAGGAGTAAGTGCACAAATAATCTCACACCCATCAAACTGGTTCTGGATGCAGATGATAATTCAGCTGCAGAATTAGCAATCTTTTCCAGCTAGTGCTGCTCTCGTGTCCTCACTGATAAAACCTTTGTGAGCCTCTTCATTTCAAGGAGAATGTTATAAGACCATCAGCAGCACGTGTGTTAATTAGTGTAGGCCTTAGGTCAGAGTTTCCACAAAGCTCCAATTAAAGCAGTGATGACTCGAAACCTATGAGTAGTACCATATGCAGGGTTGCTTCTTCCCAGCACTGAGCAGATGAAACAGAAGTAGGCTCTGGAGGATGTGATGGAAGCTAAGAGCCCAGTCGTTGTCATAAACAAACTTTATTCACTGATACTTTTGTTGAACAGAGATCTTAGTAACTATCGTGACTCATGAGAGCTGAACAGAGCTGCTCCTACTGCCTGAGTACTTCTTGTTTCCCCATTCCTTCCTATGTGGGAGTCAGCTATAGGCTGTAGTGCACAGCTTGCTCCCAGAGGAGGAGCAGGCTGTATCGTCAGATATTTATTGGAATTGTCAGCACTATTTAACATGAGAGATAACTGACTGAAAGATAATACGCTATTTGTTAAAGACCCAAAAAGCAAACAGTGTTGAGACTAAAAAACAGACCACTGTCACTGGGCTTTGGGTTCAGCCTAATCACTGTGCAAGAGGTTTTTCCCCCTTCAAGCAGTGAATTATTTTTAAATGTGAAATTCAGCATTGCAAGAGCTCACAAGCTCGTCTGAACTTCTTCCCCTCAGTCCCTGAAATTTCTCTTTCCAGATGCATATTGCATGCCTGCCCATTATTTAGGAGGCTTTCTGTGGGTTGTGTTACTCTGAAGTTTCTGAAATACGCTTGCTGACCAACCTGCCTGATGTTGTGCCCTCCCTTTTGCAAGTCCCTGCATGTGACTGGGCCCTGGAATGGCCATGCCAGGAGTGGGTGGCAGGGTGCTTCTGGATTAAGTTACTACAAAGGACAGAGTGCCATTGATTTGTACAGTTTTTTTAATGGGAACAAATTTTCTAGTTAAATTTTTTTAGGTTTTTTTGTGTGTCTGTGAAAAGATTTAAAAAAAAATACAGGAAGATACATAATTAAAGTTATAGAGATTTACAAACTTGCAACTTAAATTATAAACACAGACATAGTTAAATGCAATGTAAGCAGAATTAAGACATAGAAGATTAAATTCTTCCAGGTGCAAATTCACAAAGTAAAGGATGCAGCCCACTGACAAACTTGAGGGTTTTTCCCTCAAATCATATCTAAGACCACCCCTGTGGCCCTCCTCGTGACAAGAGAAGTTGGGCATCAGCCCCACGAGGACATAGCCCTGCAATGTGGGAGCAGCCACCTGCCCGTGCACTGCTCACCGAGCCATGCTCTGGGCTAATCCTAAAAAAGATTCCCACAGGGAGTTGTGAGAACTCATTAAGTAGTTTGTAAAGCATTAAGAGACTTCTGGATAAGAGGAGCAGCTCTAAAGGCACAATGTAATTAAAGCAGTGCTAATAGCAGGGTTATCCATCATCTGTTCAGCACTTTATTGTTATTAAATATTATTTCATGGTCACACGTGAGGAGATGCTGCTTAGTCTGAGGGTGCTGTGGCTGTGTGGGAGGAAGGGCTGGGGGAAGTCCTCCCAGGAATACTTGCTGGATGGTTTGGAGATAGGGCTAAGCCACATTGGCTTTTGAAGGAGTCACCCTCTCTGGCATGCATAAACGTGTTCGTTCCACTCTGAATCTTCCCTAATGAGTGCTTCCATTGAGATAGCATCAGTGTAGGCAGATGTCCCCCTGTGCTGATGCTCTAGCTCTCATTGAGTTTTGGCTGAGTTTTTCTAAGATCATAAAGCCATGAGTGAGTCTGGCAAATCATTCTTCATTGTTACCAACATGAATATCACTACAAAAATGCAATAGATTTGGTGCCATGAAAGAGATAAAAGCTACTTCAAAGCCTTTTATGGGGTGCCATGTTTGACTTTATATTTTTCATACCTGCTTTTGGTCCTGCAGATTGAGAATTCAAGTATAAATCTTACCTGATTTCTAAAGACCCATCATTTTCAGGGTGTGGGAAGCAAAACAGTTTAATCAGAACAAGTAAGTTTTCTCAAAATGGCTTTAAATTAAGAGGAGAAATTTAGACTAGATGTTAGGTAATTTTTTTTTTTTAACTCACAGGGTAGTATACACTGGCACAGGCTGCCCAGAGAAGCTGAGGATGCCCCATCCCTGGAGGCTGGATGGGGCCCTGGGCAGCCTGAACTGATGGGTGGCAGCTTTGTCCGTAGCAGGGGGCTGGGTGATCTTTGAGATCTTCCAAACTAAGCTATTCTATGATTCTATGCCCCTTATCTCTCAGCCTCCTACACAGTGGTAGCAGCTTGTAGTCATCCTGAGGGTCTTCTTTATCCAACATGCCTGGGTCACTGAGAGGTTTGCCATGTTCTTTAAGCTAGGCAACGTGGAGAATGGCTGAGGGGAGCATGATGCAGGAACAACATCTTCTTTTCAGAGTGGATAGGAACATTTGGAGTTGGGGACGTAGCAAAAAGTGTGTTAGCTGGTTAGCCAGAAAAGAAGAGGCATGCCTAGGAGGAAATCTTTTTGCTTAGGAAGGTATCCCTACTGTAGGTATGGGCCTTCACTGTGTCAGGGTTACCCTGCACAGTAAGGCATGGAAGATCAAAGAGAGGAAGGGAAAGAGAACAAGGTTTTTAGATTACATATCAAAGGTTCTGTAGGTGGAAGAATTAGTAACCAATATTTCCCCATGGCTTTTCTAATGTGATGTAAATCTAGCATTGTTTTTCCATGAGATCTGAGTATGTATAATTCCCTTGTCCTTTTTGTTTTCTCTGTTATCCAGTGTGATTTAGGTTCATTATGTAGCTTTGCATTTTGTTGGAACATGCTATTTTTCTCTTTGCTACCCAGACACTTAGCAAGCCTTGTGGCAATGGTGATAATTTAATGTGTATGGGAAACAGAGTAGTAGTGTAACTCCCCATGGAGTTAATATCAATTGGCACCATGGCCTAAACACCAAATTCATGAAGAAGGTACAGAAATACAAAAGAAATGTGAAACAAAACACATTTTGCACTTTACTCTGCATTTGCAAGACTTTTTGTCTCCCTGTTATGATGTACCTGCATAGGTGCATATATGCCAGGGACTGCACTGTCTGGGCTGGGGGGCTCCAGGCTAGAGCCCCCCGTAGCTCCAGAATGGATTGTGGATCCATGTTTCCTCAACCTGATGCAAAAGAGGAACATGAACAGGTGCATGTCCCCACTGCATCTCTGTCTCCAACAGCAGATGCATCTGGAACGGGGACCAGGAACAAGCACTTCCCTGCAGTTTACATGGATCCTTGTACCAACTGCTTGCTACCAGCACCTTCAAAGACAGCTGGGGTATGTGGTTGTTCAGCCACAAAATGCACTTTTGTCATGAGGTCAAATGTCTAACAGCAGGCCTCTGAGGCTGTCTGTCTTGTCGAAGTCAGCTGGAGCAATCAGCCAAATCAGAGAGGTAATGAACCTTTTGTTACATAACTAGCCATACAATTTTATAATTTGGTATGTGAAATGCCAATGGCATTTATTATGTCAATTAGGATGAGCACATGTTTAGGAAGCATTTAAGAGTCGATCATAATTGCTTGCACTGTCTTGCTTTGGCCAGATGATTGACTTCCTCTGAGGAGGTAGAACGTGTGCACTGGAGAAGCAGTTACCCACTGCCTGTCTGTTTTGCTGCAGCTCTCTCCTTTGTGTGTGGAGTCTGAGCCCGTGGTTCTGCTATAAAGGGTTGGTCCAAGCCTGAGTATATCAAGCTTCAGAAAAAGCAAGAAGCTGGAATTATTACCTCCACCAGCACGGTGCTTGAGTGCTTGAGGCATGCTAGCAGCAAGTCTTCTCTTTTGTATTACCTTCTGCTAAGGTAAGCTCACTCATAGGATGTGCTTCTTGTAAGTGTGGGAAGGTTAGCCTGTCAACATGTACTGCCTTATTCAAATGCTCTTTTTGGTCAAATCTCATCCAGCTGTTCTTAATATCCTTAAACTACTTCTGGGCTGGAATTTCTCATTTCAACATGCTGAGTAAAGTTTTGTAGCCATGAAATCGTCAGAGAGAGCAATTAATGTTTGTGTGGGTGTGCGGGAGACAGACAGATGAAAAGGCAGGACGTATTTCCATACATTCCAAACAGAAGTTTCAGATACATAATTTCACAACAGAAAAAAAAAAACTTTTTTCCAACACTGGTTGATTCTGTAAATTCCAGCATGAGCCACAGAGTCTTTTCAAACAATCTGGTTCTAGTTTTTAAAGTTATTGTGCGTGCATCACAGTATGACATTTCTGTTAGGTTTCACAGCTTGAGTCACAACTTGAAAAGTTGGGGTTATTCACCTTCTGCACTGTACTGTCGGATTTTTGCATTCAGTGGAGACGTTTTTCATCACTAAAGGCTGCAAAGTGCTTTGATTCTTATAAGCTCTGAGAAGGAATTTCTGACTAATAGTAACTTTGAAAAATCAACAGTCAGAGAGCTGGGGCCAGGCAAAAGAGAGGTTTTATATCTCCTGTTTGTTGTCCTAGAGACAGTCTATGCTGATATGCTGAACTTTTAATTATTTTCCTCTAAGAGCCAACTCTGCTAGTAGAATAATAGAATTCTATAACAGTTCTCTAGCAGTCTTGCTTAGAATCCTAAATTCTTATCCGCTAAATCAATACTTCCAGTATCTCTGACTCATCTCTAGCTACTGATGTTTTACCTGGAGGTTTGCATCTCTTCTCTGACCGCTGCAGATCTCCATTAGAGATTGTCTGCTACTGATTACAAGTCAAGCAGAGGGAAAATGCTGTGATGCTGCTATTGGTATAACAGATTTTAAAAATCAGGAATTGGAAGGAAAAAAAGAAAAAAAGAGAGAGAGATAATTACATGTGGGACAAAAGCTGGTCCTAAGACATTAAGATAAGCTTTTTATGCGCCTAAATGGTTTATAGCCTTCCTATGACAAGGTCTAAAATCCAGGAAAGCTGATTCATCAAACTGACCCAAGGTTAGTGCCAATTATTATACAATATTCTTTATCCAGATCTTTGGACTGTGAATTGTTGTGTCTTTGCATGGATGGTGCTATACAATGTGTGTTACTGCAGTACAGGTCATTGTGTGATGTCTTCCAAAACCATTATCTAGTATTTTGAGACAAAAGGCTGCCCAATAGCCTCTACCATAAGTACTACCTTTAACAGGAAAGTCATTATAGCCCGTAAAGAACTTCAGTCAAGTAGATGCAATTAGCAGCACAAAATACAGTGACTAGGAGGCCTGCTAGTAAGGATATTTTGCTGAAAGATAATGAATTAAACCAGCATTACAATTTCCCTAATTGAAGGCAAAGAGTTTTATATGAACATTCAAATCTGAGGCCTCATTGTAGAACTCCAAATATTGAATGATTTTGCAACCTGGATTCTCGCTGGGGCAGCTAGTTCTGGGCTGCACTGAGCCAACCCCTCTCAGCCTGGGTGCTCTGAGCTTCTGCTGGAGTGAAGGGATCTTTCAGCTCCCTCCCAGCTGACATCCTGGTGTGGGTGAACCACTAGATGGGGACAATGCCCACAGCTCCTATCCTGCCCACACTCAACTGCTGAGATGAGGAGTCATGAAGGAGTTAAATCTCAAAACTAACTGACTGAACTAAAAACTAAGTTTTTGAGTTGGGGGTTGGACTCGATGATCTCTGGAGGTCCCTTCCAACCCCTACAATTCTGTGATTCTACGCAGGCTAAGGTGCAAAGTCTCCCAGTAATTTCATGTGGTTCCTCTGCAACACTGGGAAGCAACAAGTCCATCTCCTGGCTCTCAGCAGAACAGGCTGAGGATTAAGAAAAGGAGGAACTTTCCTTTGTCATTTGTGGCATGTTCACAGCTAGTATGGCAGAGGAATGCAAGGGGAGATCATCTCTATCAGAGTAATGTTGTGGAGCAGTATCCTTTTAGGTGTATAGAACATCCCCATGGCCAGACTGCACCCTGCCTGTAGCAGGCAACACCTTGTTCTGGGGAAGGACAGTGACACAGTGTTGTAATTGTAGTCCAGATAACCAGGGCAGGATAGCTGCTGGCAGCACCTCTGCCTCCCATAGTGCTGTGTGATGGGGAGACAGGGCACAAGAAGGCAGCTTCTTTTGAGCAGTGGATAGAGTACTTGTGATGCATGTGCACAGAGTGCAATAGAGCAGTAATATTAATAAAATGTTATTTATGTACACACTATACCATTCAGAAGCCATTTTCCATTCTCATATCAGCCACTCATTCCTATGAGTCAGAGGATTTTGCTATTCCCAAGCCATCTTGTTGCAGGTAAACTCCTCTACCTGTTGTACAGCTTTCTTCTGCTTTGCAGTGACCGTGCTTTTCACCTTTGCCTTTCACCATTGCAGATGTGAGCTGGTTGCTGCCCTTCCAGGCTCTGCCTTAGTTTTTTTTCTTTGGTCTTCAGGTGCCTGTTGATTACTCTCACTGCTATCTACTTCCCTGCTGCCTTTCACCACCCAGTTTTTTCTCTTTCAGCTCTGGCTGCTCATTCTGTTCGCATGCTGTTCCCCTGCACCCCCTCCAGCTCCTAGTTAATGTTTGACAAGGTGGCCAGCCAGGTGCTGGAGGTGCTCTCATTCAGGCTCTAGCTTGCTTATCATGGGGACATGGACCACCTGTGCAGCCCCAGCACACACAACTCTCTCTGAGTTGAGATGATGCCCTTGCCTTGCTGATGGCAAAGGTCTGGACACCAACTGCAAATGGAAGCAGGATTTCTCCCCCCCTTCCCTTCTCCTCCTTCCCAAGCATGTGCCTCAAAGAGGACACTTTCAACCAGGTAATAGTTGCCTTTTTTCCTTTTGCTGTTATGCACCATCTGCAAGTACAGAGTTTCTTGATCAAAGTGTGCTTAGGTACTGATGTTAATGCAAGATCAGCAGATCAAATTTAAATCCTCTTTTCCCTCTCTTTTATGCTGCCCAAGAAGAACTGCTGAACATCAAAGCTTAAAGCTTCCTAAAAGGACGTGAAATTAATTATATAGCTGTGTTATGAAAATGCATAAATTATTAAAATAAAAATGACTGCAAATACTGCAAAGAACTTCTGCCTCTGGCCAAATCTATGTCACAACTCAATTCAGCATCCTCTCTGCTAACTCTTTTGGTGGTATAACTACCTTCCAAAGGCTTGTAGTGATTATTTCATTGCTTGTGTCCAGTAATTTAAGAAGGTTCATAGTTGGTGACCACTGACCAGATGAGTCAGAAGAGGCTGGTAGATCTTTTTTTTTTTTTTTTTTTTTTTTTTTTTTTTTTTTTTTTTTTTTTTCAGATTGGAAAATAAGTTGTGTTATTGCCTACTCTGAGATTTCTAAGTCATACAGGCTAGAAGATTTGAGTCCTCCTAAACGTTCAGTGCCTGTTATTAATTAACATGGATGGTTCTGATTCTCTGCACTGCAGCATTTGTAATTTATGTAGACTGTAAATTCAGCTAGAGTTCCCCACACTCACTCTTTCTTATTAGCAACACATTATTAGCATACTGGGCCCATAAAGAGTGTCTGTAATGTGACCAGAAGAGTCTGAAAACTTTTAGGACATAGTACAGGGCAGAACTTGTGCGGCTGAATTCTTATACCTTTTTCTTTGACAGTCATGATAACCTCTAATCATTGAATTGTTAAGGTAGGAAATAAGATCATTTTGCTAACTATCTACCTACTACCAATACTAATACTAAACCGTGTCTCTAAGTACTACATCTACCTTTCCTTAAGTACCTCCACTGTCACCTGGACAGTGACTCCACCACCTCCCTGGGCAGCCTGTTCCAATGCATCACCACTCTTTCTGAGAATTTTTTCCTCATATCCAATCTTTCTTATAGTAAGGAGCTCAAAACTAAAACTTTCTTGTAGTGAGGTGTGGCTTCACCAGTGGGAGATGATCAGAAGCAATGCATTTGCCATTGCTTTTCCAGAGTGAACACACTAGGCCTGTTATAAGGTAGCTTACATATATTTCAAATTGTGTCTTTTATCTTAATGAGATTTATTCCAGCTTGCTACATGCCCTCAATACCTTGAATATTTCAGCGATGTCCTCATCACTCAATATCACTAGATACAAAGTGGCAGTGATCAGATCCCCTACTTTTCCTTAGGCAGCTTACCCCTGCCCAATTTCTCAGCCATTTGAACTACAGGATTGCTAGGAGTAGACACAGTGTGTGTCTAACTCTAAATCTGCTCAGACCATTCTGAACCTCTACACATGTGAGGGATGCTGACATCAGTGAACACTCCACTCTCATTCTGCAAAATGCAGCTGCTAGCAGATCAAAGCTATGCAGACCAGCATGCAGTCACCCCACTCCGTGGAGAAGCTGGCTGAGAGCTGTCTAACAGCAGTAACTTGGGGGACCCAAACTGCCCCAGCTCAGCATCAGCAGCTGGATGTGGCCCCCAGGACCTGGGTGTGATCAATGCAAAGACTGGTGTGCTCAGCTTGTGTCTGCTTTCAGAGATTCCTTGAACTATCACTATGAAGTGCTCCATTCAGCGCTTGTACAAGTTACATTCTATGGGAAAAGTATCTTTGAATGACCTTAGCAAGACTGGAATGAAAATAATAGTGCTGAATTGTTCAAGCTACCGTGATGTTCTTGTGATTTATTTGTTACTTTTATTCATATTCCTGTTGGTGTGGGTGTGCTGCAAGTTTTTCAGGATTTTTTTTCTTTTCTTTGTGACTGCTTTGCTACTTCCAGAGTATTTCAGTGTCTTCTTTCTTAATTGGGGTTGTCAGTATGCTAGAATGATATCTTCTGTCTTTTTCTTGTTTCATTTTGCTGTATGTCACTTCAATAGAGCCAACTAATACTGATTTAATTCCTAGTTTAAGACAGCAGTTCTTTTGCCTGCACAATTCTTCTCAAAGACAGGTACACAAAACTCTGATAAATATTTTTACAAAGGGGAACATTTGCTGCTGTACAGAGTATTTTAAATATTCTATTAAAAAATTCATATAGGGGATCATTTAAATCCAAGTGAATTCACGCTAATCAGGAGGCAGAGTGTGTGCAGAACTTAGTCTTGCAAGCAAAAAATGTTATTATACACTTAGCATAATAGCTGCATAAGAATAGGATCCAACAAAGCATTGAAGTGAATGTTTGACATTCAAGCATCTGGATAGAGTTAGTAGGGCTATAATTTTACCTTTATGTCAGAAAACGCCTGCCATGTTGAAACCTAATTTCTCAGGTTTAGAGCCTAACAGCTTTACATAAAAATAGGGTTTGTTTTTATTTTAAATGAAAATGTGCTCTGTCATACTCAGATTTTTTTATATATTCTTCTCCTCATTTGCCCTCAAACGTGGGTGTCTGAAGCTGACAAGTTGTCTCAGCAAATTAAGTCAAGCTGGAAGAAGGAGCACAGTGCCATGGCAGAGCAGCAAATAAGATTTATATTTTCAAGCAAGAGTAGTAATTAGGCCATTGCATATTTTATATCTTCATGTTTATTTTCAAAGAGATGGATCAAAATAAGCATAGATGTAATGAGACGTAAGTACTCCAACAGGCAGTCAGGGTTCACCAAGTAAAAGCTACAAATTACTGTTCAGTTCTGCTGCCACCCGCAGTGCTTACATCCCTGAAATACCAGCAGGCAGGTGCTTTGGTCAGAGTTATAACTTGATTTGCAATTATAACACTAATTATTAAGGGAATAGATTTCATTTTTGTTCACTGGTTTTGAAAATCAGACAGATGAACCACTGCTATGGCAGAGGATGATCTGGAGGTCCCAGGCTCTAAACTCCAGGCAGCCCTCCCTGTAGCTGTGCGCATGGTGTGGGCTCAACTCGCTGCCTTTCCTTCCAGCACCAGTGTCTCAGGCAGTGACCATTCTCCTTACCTGTGTTTCTGCACATGTACTGCAAGATTGGCCTATTCATGGTGCTGCTTTTCCAGCAGAAGTAATGTGACCACTGTTAAAAATGTCGGATGATTCAAGGTGTAGTTGTATGCTAACCTGAGGTGTTTGACCGTTAAATTTCTGTAGTATTCCCTCTTTTTTTGAGGGAATTATTTTGATATATTTCGTTACAGTGAGAATAATTGTGTCAGCTGAGCTAAACTTAGGAGCAAAAAATTTGCTGGAGTTCACAGTCTGATTTTTCTTTTTTTTATCCTGCCATCACAAAGTTGCAATCCTTCCCTAAAAGCTGCTGGAGCACTTTATATCCAGGTACATACCATACATAAATTCAGAGAAAGCAATACAGATGATAATTTTTCTGCTTCCTTCCCCACAGATCTGATGGCACATAAGCCTTGCTGCTCTCTCAAATAGAAACCAAGTTGGGTGCTTTCATCTGCCCTCTTTTGAATTGTATTGATTCCAATTACAAGCCAGAAAGCAAAAATGGAGGAGAATTCCTCACCACTCTGTGTCACCTGTGGCCAGGCACATTTACCGGAGGAAAACCACTTGTACAGCTACACTGAGGAAGTAGATGATGATCTGATCTGCCACATTTGCCTGCAACCTTTGCTTCAGCCGTTAGACACGCTCTGTGGTCACACCTTCTGCGCTGCCTGCCTTACAAACTTCCTCTTGGAAAAAGATTTCTGCCCCATGGACCGCAAGCTGGTGGCTCTCCAGAACTGCAGGAAGTCCAGCATACTGGTGAATAACCTTCTGGACAAGCTAATGGTTAGCTGTCCTTTCACAGAACACTGCTCAGAGGTTGTGCAACGCGGTCACCTTGAACAGCATTTCCAAACCCAGTAAGTTTTTCTTGAGGTGGTGGGTTTTTTCATTGTGCTGCCTTTTCCTTAAGGAGATGGAGAAGTATCAGCAATTAACACTGATTTAAATAGACTGTTAATATAAAGGATGGTTCATCAATTTCAGTCCCCGGGAGCACCTATGCTATCATGAGGTTAGAACTGAGTTAGTATTTGATGACGTCTCATGGGCCTTTTTAGAATGAAATCTACCTAAGGTGCTTCATGCTATCATTAGCAGTTCTGGGCAGGTACCTTGTGGTAAGCTGCATAATGGAAGCCTGTATTTAGTCATCCAGAGAGATCTGTGAGTTTTGGGAAGCTGAACTATCATAAATATTTCAGTCATACTATGGCTTTTGTAATTGCCCTTTCTTAAATCCATTTTTGAATTGCAAATGACCTACATGTGAAGTAGAGCAGAAAACGTTCCCAGTATGGTGCTGGCCTTTGGAGCTGAGGGCTCTTTCCTTCCAGGTGCACACTGGTTCCTTGATGGCACACAGGGGCTCACAGAGGGCAGCCCAGCCTCCATGGCCTTGGTCATAGCCGCTGTGGCTGGGATCACCTCACCCAGGGAAAATATCCCCAGGGAGCAGTTAGTTCCTTTGCAGGGGGGAACTGATGGTGAGTAGCCCTCAGCACTACTACTGCCCAGGAGTGTTCAGATTTCTTCCTCTGCAAACACAGGCAGAGGCCTCTGTTGGCCTGGGTGGGCATGGTAGTACTGATGGTCAGAGCATCTCTTTCCCAATCTGATCTGTACTGCAGGTCATTGGTGCCAGCAGTGTCGCAGAATGCATGAGGAGAGGGCTGGAGCAGTGTGCTAGAGAACCCCATAGCTGGCAGAGGCTCTGTGACCTGACAAATACAAACCCATTCCTTAAGGCACTTGGATTCGTAAGAGGAATTTATTCAAGGTACTTATTGTGGAACTGGCTGATGGTGCAAGGGGTGCTGCCAGCCATGCTCCACAAGGTGAGCTTTTGCTGCTAGAGAGAGAAATTAGCAGGATTATCTGCTGTTTTCTGCCTCCGGTTAGTAATTCTCTGACATACCAAAAATATAGATTTCAGCAGTGATGCAGGTAAAGGGACTGACAGTCTGCTGTGAGCTGCTGTCATAGAGATTATGTTGCTCTACAGATTGTAACAATAAAATCTTCAGCCTCTAGTGCAAATAGCCTTTCCTTTTGCTATATACAAGAGCTGCTCTGAAAGTAATGACTCCTATTTTGTTATGTTGGCCTATTATGTCAGAAGCAGATGCTGGCAGTGTGGCAATAGAAGCTGAACCTTCCCACCAATGCTCTGTTGATTTCATTGCCATGTGACAGATGGCAGCAGTGGAGCAGTCTGAGAAAGTGGCATCTGGTATGGAAATGTGTAGGGAGAAAATGTGTGTCACTGTATTCCTCCATGAGGGAAAAATTGCACCCATGGACATTCATCAACACTTGCTGAATGTTACAGAGACCAAACAGTGCATGTGAGCACTGTGAGTAGGTGGGTGGTATGTTTCAGCAATGGTACTGTCATAGCAGCTATGAAGCAACAAATCACCTCCACTGGTGCAGATTTTTACCAGAGTCATACACAGGCTTCACTTCATCGCAGGTGAAAATTCACAGCTAATGGTGGTGACTATGTTGAGAAATAGTGTTTCGTAGCTGACAATTTCATCTATCAAATTATATTATTGTGCTCTTTGTCTTTGTAGTTCCTCACTTGTCCACAGCCTTTCTGCAGCTCCTCCCCCACACCAGGCTCTCCCAGCCAAGTCTCAGCTTTGAAAGCCCATGGAGGAGCAGGAGAGGAAGAACTGTGTTCTCCCTGTCTTCCACATCCTAGTGCACATCCCAGTGCAGTACAAGGTCATGCTATGCAAGCTGTGTGGCTTCTTTGCTGCCACTAATGGCCGTATTTTCCATTTGCAGTATGATTTGTTTCCTTAACAGGATAGTTAAGTTTCCTTAAGGTCAGAGGGCAGAGGTATTTAAAAGATAGAGAGTACCTTTGCTGTTGGGTGTTTCTCTAAAACCCATGGGTTTTTACAGTGTAAGTCAATTGAAGCTTTCCCAGGGCATGCCCTCACTGGCTTTCCCACCCATGAGAAGAATTAAGAGGAAACTGTGTGACCCATAAAGGAGACTTTTGAAATGTTGTTTGCAGAGCTTATGCAGAACATTTATTGTTTTCCACATGCAGCATTTGTTAATAATCACCAAAAGCATTTCATGACTCTGCAGAGATGCAGAACTCGCCCTTGCCACCCCACTCCCAACTCTTTGTGGTGCTGGAGAGAAGGGCACTGTGCTCTTCAGCCACAGCTCCAGCATGCCCAGAAAAATAGATGCTGTTCTCTTTAACATTGATGAATCAGTAGAAAAGGTGTCTGATTTTGTTGATTATGATAATAATAGTAATGATAACAATAATAATTATAATACTCATGCAAGTGAACAGAATGGCTCAGATGCTGGGGAAAAAATCTTGACTAAACATGCTCTATGCTCCCAGGGAATAAATCAGACTCTATGAGAGTCACCAGGGCAGTCGTCATCCCTTGTATTTCTTGCACAAATTGGTCTCAGACCAATCTGTGCTTGTCCTGCTCGGAGATGGGGTCACTGGTGGGACAAGGTGAGTTTGTTGTGTTTTATGCTTTATAATTGAAGAGAGAACTTGAATTTTTTAAAACACCAGTTACCACAGAGTATACAGTTAAAAACAACCTTATTTAAAATGTTTGCTCTTTCATCTCTTGGAAAAAAACAAACAAACAAAAAAAAAAAAAAAAAAAAAAAAAGAGAGAGAAAGAGAAGAGAGATGTCCTTGATTTACTACATGATTTATGTTTGCACAGAGACATCCGACTGGATTTTGGGAATTCAGACAGCGATGCAGACAGGCAGCAGTTGGCTGTGATCCTTTGCAGTGTTTTACTTTAAAAAGGTGTGGTCTTCTGCTATCGTCTGCTTCTCAACTCCACGGGGGGCACGTTCCCCCCTTGTCAGATGGCTACACCCTTCCGTGATGCAGCTCGCTCGTAACCCATCTGCTGGTGGGCAGTGATGTAAACCTACCAGCTGCCTGCGAAGAACCACTCTGAATCGTGCAGGAGGCAGGTCTCTTCCCTGAGCATCGCTCTGCTCTGCAGCATAAGTCACTGTCTCGCCAAGCACGCTGTGCTGTCCCTAAACCCTCACAACTCCCCGTCTGAGAGTCAGATCGAATAATCCTCTTACAGGTCAATGATTTTGCAGTGTAGCCTTGTTTATGGGATTTAAGCTCAATTCGTAATGTGCTACCGTTGCGTTGAAATGGGAAGGCTGGCTTAGAAGGGGCTTGGCCAGCACGAAGCTTTGCGTTGCGTGTCCCACCCGCACAGAGCAAGCGGGAAGGAGGAAACCTGGCAGCGGTGCCATCAGCGCTGGGAATGAAGGCTCTCCTGCTGCTGGTCCTCCCCTGGTTAAGTCCTGCAAACTACATAGACAATGTGGGCAACCTGCACCTCCTGTACTCTGAGCTGTGAGTACACACGGTCCTCGTGTTCTGTCTGTCTGTCTCACCATAGTGGTGGGGAGGTTCTGGACATGAGCGTTGTGGGGTCTGTCTGTCTGTCTGTGCCTGCATGTTTGCATGGAGAAAATGAGCCAACATCTTGCCAGTAGCCTGAAACAAGGCTGCAAACCGGCTGCTTTGCATCGCACAGGCTAATAATAGCAATACGTCCCCACTGCTTTCTGCTCTCTGAGCATGGAAGCAGCTGGGGCGTACAGAGGCTTTTTCCTTATTGACTTGCTCTGCTGTGCCAGCTTTTCCAGTGGTTGTTGGGTTTGTTTTGGCTGTTTTTCCATTTCTAAATTTCAGTCTCTTCTGTACATGCAATGAATAGCTTTGCATGGGAACTGGGCGCAGAGGAGGACATCGTGATGGGCACCCTGGTAGAGCGCTCGCCATGTGTACAGGCATAATGCTCTGTGTGTAAATCTGCATGCCTGGAGCAAAATGCTAAGAAGCCTTTCACCAGAAATAATTCACTTGAGACAGGAAAGAAATTTCCAGTATTTGTTTTTTTGCCCACAGCAGAATGTTATTTTCTATAGAATGCAAATTTAAATGCTGTAATCCATGCATATATCTTCATGCCTTAAGAAAAGGAATCCCAGGCAACCCCATAGCTAACCTCTTCAACCTATAAGGCAAATATTATGTGGTGTCATCTGTAAATGATGCTAGTTTAATCTGTGCTTGAATGTTTTTTCATTACTTAACAGGGCCTTTAAGAGTAGAAATAAATGTGTCAGTATGCTGATGTTTCATTTGTGATTTAACAAATTATATATTCTAGAGATAATGAATGAAATGGCTAATTCTGCTCAAAAATCGGAAATGCCTATATTGTGCCTGCAGTGGGAATGTTTTATTAACAGTTGTAATTAGTACCAATGAGACGAATTTCCAAATATTTCTGTCTCTGCTGTTACACAAAAATAGCAATGCTATTCTGAAGCAGAAAGTCCCCATTTGAAATGCTTGTCTCATATGCACTACACCTATTAATAATTTAGTCACTCTTTGTACAACTGCTCAGGATTTCTGTATGCCATGTGTGCTTTCAAATGTTTAACAGACCTGGTTTTGAGGGTTGCAGCTATGCCCTAATCTCAATTAATTGGCGTTTTGTTAGAAATGTTAATTAAAAAAATAAAAGAAACCAGTGAAGCCAAGCAGTCTACAGGGGCAATCAAGCTCAGAACAGAGCAGATGAACACTCATAATGGAAAAAATGGCATCTGGGATGCCTAGTTTCCAGGAAAACAAACTGATGAGATTAATCAGAGCACAGGCGCTCACAGCCTCCTTGCTTTTCTTGGGGAATTCAGGTTCACTGCCTTTCCCAGGACAAAGGGCTGTGATGAACGGTAGCTGTTCAGCATTTGTTTATGTAGCCTTCTAACCCATAGGAACACTGAACTCATGGATGAAGGCGGTTTG